CTTTTACAATGCATTGAGGTAGCGTCCGAAACAACTTTACTTCATTTTCGATATATTTGATAGCTTGAATAATTACCCTCTTCATACACCAGACTTTCATTAAATCATTATTGGTCTATAGAGAAATAATATTAATAGAAATGCTTTATACAATTTTCTTCGCATGATCAAGAATATACATGTCATGTTAGACAGCAGATTTTTGTATGATCAAGAATAAAAAGAGACGATCCCTTTGTCCTTCATTGTCAGATCAATTCAGTAACAAGAAACTCTTTTATTGAATTATAATCACAAAAATGGCACTTCGTAAAATTGTTACTTTTCAGCTTTTGTTTACGTTGCCCCTTATCCGTCATTTTGACCAATGCAGAACCATTATTCATGGAAGATAAATGATCGCCAACAGTACAATTGGATGCAGGGCCGGTAGGATTGAATGCAGGATCGATAGGAGCGTCGACCATGGTAAAACGATCATTCATAGGAAAAAGAGCACCACTTGGAGCACCTTCTATAAATATAAGATTTTGTCAGCGTTGTTGGATAGGTGATCCGACGAAACTTGGAGAATGTTGTTGGTTTGGTCTAGGATATCCAGATCCGTGAGTGATTTTAAAATTTTGAGTTTCTGCTATTTCAATCTTTGTAATAATTCCATACTTTATGCATTTGTTGGTCCATTAATTACGTAGTACGTATATTCCTTTACATGTACATAGAACATGTACTCCTAAAAAATTAACAAGCTACATGTAATACGTAATACATGTATGTAAATTTAACATCCCAATATTTCCAAGTACATGTATTTATATTTACTATCATAAATATTCTAGCATGTGCTAAAAATTTGAATGCTGACTAAATAATATAAGGCTGTTTGAGATTGAATAATTGTCCAACGTTCTTTTTTTGAAAAAATCAAAGTGAAGGTAGAGGTAAGATTATATTGATCAAAACTTTTTATTGTTTAATATTATTAAATTAAAAAATAAAACTATGAAAGATGTTATAAAAATTATTTTTATTACAAAGTAATTTTGATGCAAAGTTGGATAATTTTATTAAATTCAGTGTCTGATTTCTCTCCGATTTCCGGAGTTCCGAAATTTCCAAGATTCTTGTGATCTTATAATCATCAATTTCGGATAGCAATGCTAAAGGTCCATTTCCGTCCAATAACTAGACAGACTGAACTGATGCAGAGGATTGACCAGACCAGACTAGACCAATACAGGGACCAGGACTGCAGGTCACTCCACGTGATTATGAATTATAGACGTCACACTTAACGTCAGTAATAGATTCATAGTAATAAAATTTTAAACCATCGCATTAATGAATAAGAATAGTGCTCCAATAGTGTCTGGTTCAATCCGTGACCCGACCCGAACCGCACACTTTGAGTCGGGTCGGGTTGGTGTCATACCCGACCCAAAATATTTCGGATCAGACTAAAAATCGTTATTTCTCGTCCAATATTGAACGAAAATTTGTAGATATATACACATTTATATTGCGAACAACTCTACTTCAGACACTAATACTGGTGTCTTAGTAAAAATAAAAGTTATTAACGAAAAACTATTTTACGATTTTCGGATCAAACCCGATCCGAACAGAGCTTAAATAAGAATAATACCAAACTAGATACTGTGTATGATGTTGCAAATGAGTTAGTTCTAATGACGCTACGATATAATTCTATTTATAAGTAGAAAAAAATTTGCCACTGTTACCATAAACACGGTTTACTTTTTTCACAAATCTAAAATTTCTCCTTGTTCCCGCCTGTTTTTCAAACATAAAGAAACACGAGTTGTTTTCTCAAAGATCCATTTACGAGAGAGATTAATATTGTTTTTTCAACTGAAAAAACACGATCACATGGAATACTAGTTGTTTGCAGTGTAAGATAATCGAGAGCGATAGTAGAGAATGTAGGGTACTTGATATGTTTTGATTACCTGGGTTGCCGTCCTCAGATAACAAGCGAAGGTAAGAATTTACTTGATTGTCCAGTGTAGAGTTGGAGACCTTGATTGAGTAAAGGTAAAGTAGTTAACCAGTTCCAATGGTCCAAACCTTTTCACAAAAATTACTGATTTAGAGATAAATTTTTCTTACAAATTGCTAATTTTGATAATTGTTTATTATTATAAGTTACTTTGAAAATAAGTAATAAAACTTATTGAGAAAGCAGAACCTTTTAAAATGTAGAAATTGGGATGGGTTTAGGATTAAATCTCTGTTCGGGTCGAGTTTGAGGTCAAACCGAACAGATAATTTCGGGTCGGGTTTAATCGTAAAATAGTTTTTTCGTTAAAACTTTTATTTTTACTAAGACATTTATATTTTGTCTTAAGTAGAGTTGTTCGAATAATTGTGTATATATCCACAAATTTTCGTTTAATTTCAATTAATATTGAACGAAAAATAACGATTTTTAGGCTGAACCGAAATATTTCGAGTCGAGTTTGACCCTAACCCGACCCGGTTGGAGCACTATTTAGGACCATCTCAGGATCGAAACAGTTCCAAGAAGATTGCTGATTTTGGAGATAATTTTTATTTCACAAACAATTAATAAAACTTATTTTTATAACGATATTTAAAAAGGGTTACTTATTATAGTTAAACAATTTGACTTTTCTAGAATTAGTGATTTTTAAAATTGTTGGGACTGATTTAGAATCGATTAATAACCTAAGTAAAGGAAATTTTTAAAGAAATCCATTGGTTTCTCACTTTTTGTTTCTTTTCTACCTGCAGTTTTACAAGAATCTTAATTACTATTATATGTTCATTATCAAAAGTATTCAACTACTACAAGAATCAACAATAGCGAGAAGTATTGAGATATTATTTAGATCTTTCTAATGCTCCTCCAGTTTATTTTTGATCGCTATTGTTATGAGATACTGTGAATTGATTTCTGGTTTCTGCATAGACATTGAGATACATGAGAATAGAGATGGGTCCCGAAACTGATGACGTAGTTTAGGGAGATAACCGAAACTAGTTTAGGGACATAACTGAAACTAGTTAAGGTTACAGTTATGTCCCTCCAGGGTAGTTTAGGGATCCATCTTTACATCAGAAGGCACTTGAAAATAAGCCACAAATTTTCCTGTGTCAAATAGAGACGGTAGATAACATCATTGTGGCATGATAGATGGCTTCAAGATCAGCATCATTTCCTGGTAAATGCATAGTAAGTAATTTTTTATTATTCATTCATTATTTTATTTGCATTACTTGCCAAACTTGCATTATAAGTTAACCGTTTTGCAGGTGTGCATTCCGTTGCACAAGAATATCGGTTACTGCTCGGCTCTCTTTCAATCTTTGGAGTTCCAACGTGTATCAACGTCCAGTTCAGGTATCAAAAACTTCTTTTCTATGACGATAGAAATCTTATTGAGCTCTTCAATAAGTAGAGGACAACTACGAAGCTTGATTAAAAGGCATGTGCTTATTTAATTTCATTTGTAGCTTTGTTGATTCTGGCTTTAGCCCTAAATTCAAAACGTGAGTCGCACAACGAAGATGATAACACACACAATATCATATTCTGATGCTAGAGCTTTCTTCAAATGATTGAAACAAAAAAATATTGTTATTACTGGCATTATCGCTTGTGAAACAATAAATTTATAACCATTTTCTAATTTACGAAAAATATTTAGCATTACTTCTGTAATATTTACACCTGTGTGACTTTCGTGCAGAGCCGCCAAGTCAAGCAATAAAGTTCAATTTTTATCGAACCAGTGAATAGTGAGGCCAAGAAATGGCTGTTGGTTACAAGCAGCCAAACATCGATTGTAAGTGTAATTATGCTTTATAATTATACCAAAGTCTCTCTCCCTTTACAAGATATTCAACATTATTTCACTGAATGAAGTACTGTATATTGTTGAAGAGTCTTTTTTATTTATGCATGAATAGAATTATTTTCTCTGTCATAAAATGTGTTCTTCTCATTTCTTATGTACATCGGCAGACAAAAGTCACCAGATTCTTTTTTCTAAAAATAACTAATGAAAAAACTCGAATAAAAGTTCTAAGCATATGGATTCAACATATTCTGAAATATGTTACACTATAATTTCAACTCTTTTTAATTACATGTATCTAAAATATACTAGCATATGATATAACTTTATTGATAATGCTTTTTAAAACGATTTTAAAGTATATTGCACTAAAAATTTTGATTACTGTCTAAAAGTTATAGTCAATAATGTAGAAACCGATGAAAAAACTCATATAGATGTTCTAAGTTTATAAATTCAAAATATGTAATGTTAAAATTTCAAGTTTATTAATCACAGTTTAGAAAATTATACTTAAAATCAAAATATTATACTTCAACAACTTCTAATCATTTATTTTATACTTCATAAAATAATAGTTCAGGAACTAATAAAAACATGCTTTGATGTTATAATCGAATAAATGCTGCCTATCTGTAGATGCTATACTAAAATTTCAAGTTTTTTAATTATAGTGAAAATACTTTTGCACAAAAAAGTATTTTGAAATATAATATTTTAATACATTTCGCCATACTTTTTAAAGAGCGACTATAAAAACTTGAAAGGTTAGTATAGTATACTACAGAACATTTCAAATTTATGTATTTAGAATATCAATGCAGGTTTTTTATTAATTTCAACAAACAAGCGCACGTATCGGTACGTATAATGCTAATGTTAACACAGAAATCGATCTATGGAAGGTATAGCTCATCTTTTAACATAGCAATAACGATTTACATAGAATCTGTGCTTAACACATCAATAACTTCTACACATGTACGTAAATCTTCATTATTGTCTCGTTTATTTACCATTATTTAAAGTTTTAAATGAACACAGCGCATAAACATTTTATACAGTGCACTCAAAAATGGAATCTAAAATGTACTGTTTGTCAAGAAAATAAACACTGTTATGAATTTTCTGAATCACAAAAGCCGAAGATAAAGATATTGATAGTCTAATAACAGAATACGCGAAAATTATAAATCTTTCGAATGGATCCTTTTTTGCAAGGTTAAATTACCTGCAAAAGGAGGTTTTCGAATAATTCTTTGAAGCAATGGAATTATAAAAGAAAACAAATTGAAACGAGGTGGAGAACGCAAAGTTGTGTTGGAATAATTACATTAGAATTTATAAACGAGGTACTTCTAAAGGATAAGCATGACGCTTTTTTGTTTTGTAACATAATTGAGTTTTTCAAAAATAGATTATAACTGCTCTAAATCGTATTAATGATAATATTGGAATAAGTTATTATAGAATAACTAAAAATTCAGCTACAAATTATTACTCGTTAGTGATGACTTATATAAAACAAAACTATATATTCTGTCATAAGAAATATCGTATTTACTGCTTCAGAACTAGATGGACAAAAATTACACATGACACTAAAGAAACTAGTTTGGAGGGTT